ATAGAGGTCCCGGGTATCAGTGTGTCATAGAGGTACCGGGTACCAGTGCATTATAGAGGTACCGGGTATCAGTGCGTTATAGAGGTCCCAGGTATCAGTGCGTCATAGAGGTACCGGGTACCAGTGCATTATAGAGGTACCGGGTATCAGTGCATAATAAAGGTACCGGGTACCGGTGCATTATAGAGGTACCAGGTATCAGTGCGTTATAAAGGTACCAGGTACCAGTGCATTATAGAGGTACCAGGTATCAGTGCGTCATAGAGGTACCGGGTACCAGTGCATTATAGAGGTACCGGGTATCAGTGCGTTATAAAGGTACCGGGTACCAGTGCATTATAGAGGTACCAGGTATCAGTGCGTCATAGAGGTACCGGGTACCAGTGCATTATAGAGGTACCCGGTATCAGTGCATTATAAAGGTACCAGGTACCAGTGCATTATAGAGGTACATGTTCTCCATGTTTGCGGTTTTGCATATGCTTATTCTATGTGTACATGGCTTTTCATGTTTGCATACACCTAGGTTTTGAACATGCCCATTCTGCGCTTAAGCAGTTTTGTACATCTGCTTTTTGTTTGTATGCGGTTTTCTGTGTATGCAGTTTCCTGGTCGTGTTATTGGGGAAAGCGTCCCGATGCAGATCACAGAGTCCGACAAATAGGCTTTTAAGAGACCTGCACAGACTGCCCCCGTTCAAACAGATGGCCGTTCTTAGTGAAGCCATTCAGTCTGGACACTTTTCCTGACTCCTCCTGAGAGCTGAACCAGTGACCTCTTGGCCACAAGTCCAGGCCTTTCAGTGGCGCCCCCCACTGACGCTCCCCTGGCGTCTTCCTTTATTCCAGGGTAATGATGCGTGCAGTAAAGTGCCAGGTTCTGTTCTCTGTTTGTCTAACTTTCCCTTTTCCGAGTTTTTCTCAGGAAAGTGAGTGTTGTTTCTGTTTTGGGAAAAGTGTCATCACAGTATTATTTCTGGCTGTTCTAGAAACAAAAGTCATAGATCTGCATGTTTTACTATAATGCCGTAAAGGTACTGCACAGAGAATTTTTTAATGGCATAGATCCATATCTATCACTGTAATGTCACAGACATTATTTAACTTAATGACATATTTAATGACACTGATCCAGATGTATCTTCATAATGCCAATGAAACACACCAGTCACTCACATTACCAAGTTTGCTGGCCAGGGGCAAGCTTTCAGGTACACAATAGCCGTCTCAGTTCGTTAGCATCCACGCGGCTTGGTCCGATCGCGGCGCGCTCTTCGGCCGCGGCGTGGAATGTGCCGGCCTCTCTCACGGCATTTCAATGGCTGCCCCTGCTTCTGTGAAGGCCCCTTGGAGCACATCCAGGCCTGAATGATGAATCGTGTCTAGTTTACTTTATTCTTAAAGGGACACAAAGCTGCTGTGGACGCTGCCTGGCTTTAACTGCTGTAAGACATGTTGTCAGTAAATCTTTCTGATTAAAAGGTGCCATGTCCCTTTGTGGTGGATCTCTGTAGGTCTGCCAGGGCAAGTTAACACCCCGAATGTGGAAATAAAACCTCTCAGAGCCATGGAAACCAGCCGAACCCATGTGAAGCAGGCTGTTTGGGGGGGGGGGATGGGCACACACTTGAAACATAACCCCACCCCCCAGGGAAAAAATACTGTTTCAGATTATTGACTGGAATAAATAAATACTGATGGAGCAGTATTTCCATTGATTTTCATGTTCTTCTTTTGAATGTGTTTTTTTTAATTAGCGTGTGATTTCTGGAGCTTTTATAGCCGTCACCAGCTTCCCTTCCCAGAGCATGCGAATGTGCTGAATAATGCTGAATATCCTGCAAAACAAGTGCAAGATACAGCATAGAGTCAAGGCAGTGCGTTTCTGTGTACGCTGGGAATTTATGTGTGACACGCAAGAGCAAGTGAGGAACGCCCTCAGACTCCCGTACGTGTCGGGTTTGAGCCGGGAGGCTTCATGGTCACACTGTGTGAAATGTTCCAGAAGGAAACGTTCCTGCAAGAGCCAGTGCTGCTTCTGGGGGAGGCTCAGAGGCCCTCAAGGCCTGAAGCGTCATCCCTGCGTGTGACCATTTGCTGCATGAAACGATTCATTTTTGTCCTTTGGTTTGTGAGTGAAATCTGCGTCAGTCTTGGAATGAGCCATCGGACACCAAACAGTAGTAAATGCATGAATGAATGCATGAATGAATGCATGAATGAATGCATGAATGAATGCCTTAATTGTCATTGCATGAGGTGCAATGGAATAGGGGAACTACTCTTGTTGGTAGAGCAGGGCTGCCAGCGTGGGGGGGGTTATCTCACTCTCCAGATGACACTGATTACAAGCATCCGCAGTACCCCAATCATGATTAGAGACAAAGACGCCCGTTAACATTCACTAACGAAGCGTTTTGTAACTTCCCCCTCACGCCGCTCACCCTTTCCTCTGACCTCAGCCCCAATAAACCTTAAGGAAGCCGACTTCCCATTCAGCAGCACAGCCAATGGCGTCGCATCCCCATTGATCCCGTGTGTGGGGAGCCGCCAGGAGGCCTCTGCTGGCTCGTCCTGTTCCTTTCCCAAGCTCTTAAAGCACCATTCCCACAGAATAGGGACGCTGATTCCAGGCTGAACGCCATTGAAATACCGGCCTCTCCATTGTAGTCCCCCATAATGAGCAGTGAGGGGGTGCTCCGTTGGTTGTGAGGAAAGCCCAGCGTGAGTTTGAAGGCCCGGCCGAACGTCAGGAAGCTTCTGGAAGCTCCTCCAACCTACCCATCGCTGTAGAGGTGCAGCGTGCGGAAATAACGTAGTTTGTCAGGCACACTGCGTTGAAAATGAGCGCGCACATTTGGTCATACTCTACATCGCAGAGAACAATAGCCTGTATCTGTTTATCATTTAGCTTACTCCGGAGGAATGGCCAATGGGAGGCAATTAAAGTCATTTGAGGTGATCGGGACACTCCAGAGTACTAGCCTGTCCTTTGGAGACTGTTTGAGGGATGGAGGGCGGACAGTAAGTGGAGCCCAGCCCCTTTGGACTGCAATGAAAGGTGATACCGTGATGACACCGTAAACAGACCGTCACGTCATTCACGAAGAGGACCGGTGATGTGATCGTCGTCTCGGCCTGCCAAGGGGACTTCCTCCCCGAAACAACCCATCCCCCCACTGCTTTATGGTCAGTTAGTAACAGGCGTGGAATCTTCCACAGGAATATCATCTGGAACACTGCCTGCAGGGTGGTGCTTTTCGACCTCGAGACATTGTCTTCCCCGTGGGACAATGGCAGCAGAGGATTTGTTACTTGGCTGCTCTTTTGTGGGGAGCCAGTATAAGGGATGGAATTGGGGGGCTTTGAAAGGCTCAGAGGCCGCTATTGTCACCGGCCACGGTCGCGGCTAACGGACCTCGGGGGGGTCGGGGGGGCTTCAGATGTGCCGGCGATGCCCCTGAGGAGCGTGGAGCAGGAACTCTCCGCACGGGAGATTCTGTGGGGTCGGGTTGCACTGAGCACCTGCTCGATGCAGGGGAATGTTTCCTGATGCTGGATGGGGACGGACAGATGGGTAGGTGTGGGGGCCCTGCTTGCACATGCTTATGGAGGGCTTCTTCATTTCCCATTGCTGGGGGTTTCTTATTTCTAAAATGCAGATGTTGTTATGTCTTGGTGCCCCCCAGTCAGTTTTCTCCCGGTGCCCCCCAATCAGTTTTCTCCCAGTGCCCTCCAGTCAGTTTTCTCCCAGTGCCCCCCAGTCAGTTTCCTCCCAGTGCCCTCCAGTCAGTTTTCTCCCAATGCCCTACTGGTCAGTTTTCTCCCAGTGCCCCCCGGTCAGTTTCCTCCCAGTGCCCTGCTGGTCAGTTTTCTCCCAGTGCCCCCAGTCAGTTCTCTCCCAGTGCCCCCCAGTCAGTTTTCTCCCAGTGCCCTGCTGGTTGGTTTTCTCCTCATGCTCCCCAGTTGATGTTTCCTGTGCCAAAGCTTGGTTCAGCAGAATGTTTTGCCGAGCCGCTGTGTGTGTCGAGTGCGTCGCCTTTATTTCCCATTCTCCTCCATAACTGTGTACTTAAGGCATTATCTCTTTTTATTTAGCAATTCAAACAAAATTAGCTAGATAATGTTTGTAGAAATCTAAGTGTAAATGTTTGTAATTTTTTTTTACCTTTTTTTACGTCCTTGTGGGACTGGCCAGTGTGAGCGACTCCAGAAAATGTTTAACCCCTATTGTATGGTGACAAAGGGTTGCTTTCATCCTGCTGTGAGGGTACGATTGGCTGTTAGCTGCCTGGGAGTGCTCGTGTGAGTGCTCGTGTGAGTGCGCGTGTGAGTGTGTGGCTCTAAGTCTTTGCACACTCCGACACACACAGAGACGCTGTGTGTTCACTTGCCTTCGCCGTCACGCCACGCCGTGCTGATCCGACAGCCTGACCCGTGCGCCTTCACTCTTTCTGCTGGACAGATGCTCTGGAGCCCTTGGTGTCACTGGTCTGAAGAGCACTTTTTGATCATTTGTCAGCATCGAGGCTGTTTTGAGGTCACAGGTAAGCCGCCCCCTCTCCTGGTGCTTGTGGCCCTGAGCAGCATCTCGCTCATTTAACACACGCTTTCTGTGTTCGCAAAAGATTGCACTCGTCCTTGTTTCTGTCATTCGTAAAATGATTGAGGTAGAGCGGTCTTCCTCCCTGTGATTATTCCTGGTCTTCCTCCCTGTGATTATTCCTGGTCTTCCTCCCTGTGATTATTCCTGGTCTTCCTCCCTGTGATTACTCCTGGTCTGGCCTGCTCTCATCTCATACCTGTCATGCCTTTAGGCTCATCTGACTCTAGGGGGCGTAAAGAAGGCGAGACAAACCGTGTGATTCGTCACATTCATCGTGAAAGTGCATCTCAGCTTTCCCCAAGTGAGGTTTTGTTATTAAACGGCCATATTCTGCTTTTCGCAACGCTGCAATGCAGTGTAAACGCGCAGTGGAGACAGCCAGCCAGCGCGTGGTGTTGTCTTTCTGCCGATGCTTTCCGTGCAGCAGTCTGCCGTGTAGTAAATGTATCCGTCACACACGGCTGCTGACAGCATGCAGTGTCACGCTATCTGATGCAGCATTTTCCGCAGCCTGACTTCCATTTGAGATGCCCCCCCTATGAGATACTGCGGGTGTCTCCTGGGTTTAACTCTAAGTCGTACCCGATCCCGAATTCCCATCCTAATTGTTCAGTGTCAGCCACGACACTTTATCGCCGTAGCAACGGGGAAGGGGCAGAGGGGAGCTCTGCGAGGTGGGGCGGCGCCTCACAGCTGTGTGCTGTCTGGTGCCGGTGTCCGTTACTGATGGCTTCATGTAGTGTGAAGAAGCGGCTTTAATGGAGACCTTGCCCAGAACACTACAGTCCTGTAGCAGAAGCTGCTGCCTGGAAATGCCTGTTCTTCATTTTTGTCACTGACACCTCATATTATCTGCTTTCTCTTTCAAAAGATCCATCATGTTTCAAATGATTTATTGTGTTTTCATTGTTTCCTATTTCCTAGTCTAAGCAATAATCATTCAGTGGTATCTCAGCTCTGTTGCATCAAGACAAATCGATTTTGGAGAACACTATATCTTTTTCCAAAAATGTTTGAATGAATCCACTCTTATATGTTTATATTCTGCTGACTTTAGATTTAATTATAATAATAATAATCGATACTTTATTGATCCCCATGGGGAAATTGTGTTTATGCCTCCCCCAACTCGCTCTTTGTAGAGTAAGCTGCCCACGAAGGGCAGCCACCTGTTGGGGCACCCAGGGAGCTGAGGGTTAAAGGCTTTGCTGAAGGAGCCCCAGACGTGCCGAAGCTGGGTTCGAACTGGCAACCTTCTGATTATAGGTACCCAGGCTTAATCAACTGAGATTTAAGGTATAGAGGGAATCATATACGGGGTGGCACGGTAGTGTGTTCTCTCACACCTCTCACACCACTGGGACCAGGGATTGAGTCTCCACCATGGCTCCATGAGTGTGGAGTTTGCATGTTCTCCCTCGGTTGTTGTCTGGATTCCTCCAAAAACATGCTGAGGTTAATTGGAGTCACCAAATTGCCCGTAGGTGTGAGTGTGCTCTGTGATGGGTTGGTGCCCCACCCTGGGTTGTTTCCTCCCTTGCACCTGTAGCCTCTGGGATGGGCTCTGGACCCCCCACAACCCTGAATAGGAAAGCAATTACAGAAAATGGATGGATGGATATCATGTACCATCCCATGGAGAGTAAGGAGGTGTGTGTCACATTTATCTTTTTGACAAATTGCTGTGAGCATGAATGTAGGTAGATAACCGACAGATAGTGTTTTGGGTCAGTTGTGAGATACCTCATGGACCTTAAAGCCTCTGTACGTCTGCATCATGACTGCCGTGAATGTGTGACCATGTCCTTCAGGATTTCTGCCTGCTCACGGTACCATGCAGCCAAACAGGATTAAAACAAAAACCTTTTTCGATCCATTCCTAGTGCCTCTGTGAAAGTCTATCGCATGGCACAAACAGCAGTTAATATGGGGATATCCAATGTTTTTAATAATACCTTCCTACATTTCAGGTTTGGAGGTGAATTCAGGAGGTGCGTTTCTGCTGAACGCTTCTGAAGGACAGGAGAACGTAGAGGAACTGCTCAGGTAACACTGCGCTGACTACAGTGTTCTGTGTCTCTCAGCCATATTACCTCATAATCTGGAGGCTGCCTGTCCTTGAATAGTAGTGTGCGTGGTTGTGGACGGGGAAGATTTTTTCCATTTCATTTGCTGACAGTATTTCCAAAGGGATTATAAATGGAGCCTGCTGTTCTAAGCATTTCCCTACAGTCTGCTAGATATCGCTCGAGTTAACTGTGTAGGCAAACAGAAAAGTGCACCACAGGCAAACGGGTTTGTTCTCAGAAGAGGAGTCGTTTTCCTTCGGATGCGTCGCTCCGCCTCTGATCCCTGGTGTCGATCGGCTGCCACCGCCCTTCTCGTTATGAGGCTGGGCTGTGTGACTGACAGGTGGCTTTGCCCTTCGTGTCGGTCCCCCCAGCGAACGCCGCGTGGCTCTGCCAGTGGCACAGAGCACACATGGCCCGGTCAGAGCGAGAATTGCAGGAAATCTTTTTCTGGCTGCTTGTAGTCTTAATAAATTCAGCGCTGACAGTCGGTAAATTAAAAACGCGTCGCCTTTGGGGAAAAGCCTTGTGTCTGATACTCGAACCAGGAGGTGAGGTGCCCCAGAGCACTGGGCTTCCTGGAGCGCTTCTCAGCCCATGTGGTGGCTTTTCTATTTGAATGAGCCCAAAGGCGTTCTGGAAAGCCCCGTCCCTCTGGTGTCTCGGTGGGGGGCTGAGGGACGAGGACAGTCAGTAAGACTCTATCTTTATGTGTTCCCTGTAAAACGTGTATTTCTGTCGTCCATTTTTAGCCTCTGAAATGAGCTTCCGCTATTTTCCAGATCAGCTGGTAGCAGACAACTTGAGTTAGAAGCTATCAGTGCAGCTCATGCATCTCAACGCGTTGAGAGAAGGGGAAGTTCAGGGCTTAGACATCGTTAGTGTGAAACATCCTCAGGCGGACATTCTGTCCTGAGAGCTATGAATGCTAAGCTGTCCGTTTCCTCCTTTGGATCCCACACTTTCTGCTGTGTCCTGTAATATTTGTGGTGCGTTTTTCCTTGCTGGGTTGTGTTGCTTTACTTTGTGAGGGCGAAGCAGGAGGAGTGGCAGGCCTGTGGAAGATTATCGGCTTATGAAGCCTGCTGTTTGCGCCATCCTGATTCATGGTAACTGATCACTCCAAAGGTGTCATGAATACAGAGCTAACTTCAGTGGAATCCTTCATGCCACATATAAATAAAACCAAGCCCTTGTGCTGTTCTTCATTACAACCAGGCACATCATATTTTGGCACAAAACTGGCACAAGTGATCTCTAAGGAAATGAAGGAGCTGGATTGCCTCTGAATGACTTGTAAATGCGAATAATAGTTCGATTGAACGGGCTCCTACACATCACAAAGCGTGTTTTCAAGCGTGGAGCATGATAAGATGTGCTGCATGATTTCCCATGACCCCAGGAAGAGTCCATATGGCATCACTTTCATGTTTCTTGTCAACCTAATGAATCTGTCAGTGATGAGAACATGCAAAACACGACTGAGAAATCAGACATATCTAAATACAGAAGAGCGATACTGCTACTTACCCTGAAAAGGCTCTTAGAGAAAACAGGACATGCATTATATTCTTAGAACCACTCACTGACATTTCGGGTTTTCACTTTTAACATTTTTGGAGAGTTGAGTAAGTACGATTTTGTGGAATCCTGGGGAGCACTGACCAAATGAGGGTTTGAGTTTTGAAGGCAGTTTATTTGTTAAACATACCTAAGTGGGCATTCAATGCAAAATTTTCAGTTTACTTGTCTTGATTTTCGATCGAATTGAAAACAAGCAAGCCGACATGCAAATCCTCTGCAGCAGTCTGATTTGTCTGGAACAGCTGATATTTGACTCAGACGTTCCTTGACAGAGGCAAGGCGCCTGTGTGACTCCCTTCAAGGCTCTTATTTTGAAATGAATGAAACTCCACAGTTTTGTAGCATTAGGCCAGAGCAGGGGGGGGCACCTTCACCTAGGGACATGTTTGAGACGTATGAGGAGAGGGTGAAGTAGCTCCTTGGGATCCCGGACGTAGCATCCCATGAAGGGTTTGCTGGGTAGGGTTCGCATCCCTGCCAGTAACCCCCCCAGTGGCCATCGCTCCCTCTCCGGTCCGAACATGCCGACAGGCTGGGTCTGCATGGCGCCAGAGGCTTTTTCTGGGTCATGGAGTCTGGCTCCTCCACGGTGGAGCTGGGCCTGGCTGGTGAGCAGATGGCTGAGGCCTAAGAAGCAGGCCAGCTCGTATCAGCCGTTAACCACCCGCAGGACGGGGGGAGCGGCCTCGCTTCCAGCCTGAGGGCCTCCGCCCCCCTGTCTCCAGGATTCCTCCTGCTCAGGATTCCGCACCACTGAGAAACTGCCCTTAAACACGACTGAATCTGCTTGTTTTTCACTTTCCTACAAAGATTCCCCTTCACTCATGTGACCGCAGTGACTAACGATTACATTTGTGCAAACGTAATATGCAGTCAAGTAGGTAAGAATGGAGATGCAGCTCAAAACATGTTTTCATGCTACATGTATGCTTTCTGACCTTCACGGCCATGTGGTGCAGGCCGGAACCAACCCGCTACTATGGAGCAGCAGGGGGGCCCTGTCCTCTGTCTGTAAAGTGATGATCATCCCCACCTGGAGGTGGCTTGGTAAAATCCCGTGTCTCCATACCACAGTCTCTCAGTCTTGAGCCACTGAACCCTCCGTTTCTAGCTGTGGCTCAGTGGTCCTTGTTGGTAGAAGTATTTGCCAGTCCTGGTGTTTGGAAGCCTTCCAGCTTTGGTTTTTGTCATTTTCCTACATAATAACCCCTTGCAATACCTCAGTCCTAAATCCAGCAAGACCTTGAGCATGAGCTCTAATGAAGGATTGGTTTTGGACTTGTGCACCAACTCCAAAATTCAAATAGAAGTTAGTTTTGCGTGTGACTTTGAATACTTGTTTTGCCTCTTGCTCCTTCAGCCTAATTTTGCATGTCAAACCCGAGCTGTTGCTGGTTCCGGATGAGAACATAGGTGAGAACACAGGTGAGGACATGCCAGAGGATGCCCGTCTGCTAAGCAAATTCAGTTCCAGACCATTCAGGCATTTTCTTCAAGACTCTAGATCCTTTATGTGCCTTTTATACATCAGTACACAGGAATTCATACTTGCAGCAATCAGTCAGTAATATGTAACATGTACAGTAAGAGGATCAGACAGGACAAAACAAGAAAAAGGCACCTGCAAAGCATCAAAATGAATGAATGAAACATTAATATCTCACTTTTCAAGACACTCAAAGCACCTAACAGAACCAATGGGGAGCCACTTCAACCCCCACCACTGTGTAGCCCCCACCTGGATGATGCGACAGCAGCCATTCTGCACCAGTACACTCGCCACACAGTAGCTAAGGTGGTGAAGGGGCAGGAGAGAATTCACCAGTTAGAAATAAGGGATGATTAGGAGGCCAGATTTCATAGGGTCAAAGTGGGCAATTTTAGCCAGGACATCGGGGTACCACTGCTACTCTTTTGAAAGATGCCCAGGGATCTTTTATGACCTCAGAGAGTCAGGACCTCGTTTATGCGTCTCATCCGAAGGACGGCACCATTTTTACAGGTCAGTGTCCCTGCACTGGGATCCACACTGACCACAGGATGGGCTTCCCTGTCGGCCACAGTGTCCCCATCACTGCACTGGGATTCACACTGACCACAGGATGGGCTTCCCTGTCGGCCACAGTGTCCCCATCACTGCACTGGGATTCACACTGACCACAGGATGGGCTTCCCTGTTGGCCACAGTGTCCAGGAGAAAGTATAAATATATGAAATAAGTATAAGATTAATAAATAAAGCAAAGTACAGGACCGGAAGCACCAGCACCTGTGCTCGAGTCCCGACCTTGACTCCGGCTCATGGGCTGCCTGTCCATGTCCTGTTTTTCTTGAAGGATTTTACGGCTCGAGTCCCCACCTTGAACATAAAACCCCTGCTGGTCTTCGTCAGTCGACTTTCCCTGAATGTGTCTGGTTTCACGTCATCAGCGCTGACCGAAATCTGTTCAGCTAGTGGACCCCCCCTCCCCCCCTCCCCGAGCAGCCCTGATCTCTCCTCACGTCGGCCACATTGTCTGGGAGCTGAAATGGGCTTGCTGGTGCTTTTGAGAGGCACTGAGGGGGAAGCGATTTGTATTCACCTGCCGTGGGTGAATAGGAGTGTCAGGAGAAGCTAATTGCATTCATCTTGTAGTCCCACACATATTGTTTTAAACATTGTGTTCTTAGTGCAAATGTTCCTTTTGGACCAGTTTATGTTGTTTTGCATCATTTCACATCTACTTCAGATGCCCTGTTTGTTTAGCCACTGTTATTTTTATCTGTCTCCGCTTTGGTGTGATAATCTAATCCCACACTTTTTGTTTTGTAACCTTGTAAGTTCACACAGAAAATCTTTACAGGACTTTGTCAATGGCTGACAAAAGGCCGCATTTCTGCTTCACCTTCTGCAGCAGGTGTGACCCCCCCCCCCCCCAAACACCCCAGGTTTGCTCCGCCTCCTTTGTGTCGCTGACATGAAGAAGCTGAAACAGGGATGGCCCCCATCTGCCCCACCCCGGTCTTTTATTTGGTCTTCTTTTTCTCTGATCTTTCACAGTATGACTTTCCTTACTTTTGATGTCCTTTTTTGCCCTCACTGTTTTATTACCGCAGGTTTGACCCCCTTGCATTTCTCTGCGGGTTTTAGTCTAACTGTTAACCTTGCATGTGACAAAGGAAGGCGGACGCACTGTCGCTCCTCTCCCCCGCCCCACCCCGCCGCGCCCCGCCCTCTCGCCGTTGTTTGTTTACCTGCCGGCCGCCTGAGTGGGTCTGTTTTTCCGCCCAGTTTCTGTCCTGCTCCGCTGCCAGCAGCCGCCTGCCGTCCTTTGAAAAGCTGGGAATAAGAGTGACGCTCTGCAGCAGCGTGGGGTTTGCTGTCACGCGCGGCGCTGCGCCCTTTTAAATATGT